ACTAAAATGAAGCAAATAATGGCACTTGCCATTCAACCAGGACAGGTGAAAATCAACTTCAGATTCGGTATAACAAGTGATATTCTCAACTCCAGGTTGAGTTTAAATTTAAATGAGTGTGGTGGGATGGGCTTAAAAGACTCATAAATTCTGGTTTAGTATTTTCTGGTTTGGCTAATTGGCCTCTATCTATGATAATGAAAGCCACAACTCAACTCACAATGTTCCTTCCAGGGGACCATCTAAATCAAGCAGGCAGAGTTTAGTGGGGGATTTTATTACCAACCAAAGACCAAAGACCAAACACCTGTCCTTGTGTTGTTTGAGTGGGGATTTAACTGATTGATCCTAAAGTATGCACCAAACCAAACTCACAACAAGAGCATTAATCCCCCACTTTTTGTTTTGGTTTTTTTTTTCTCTCTGTGTACAAATAATTGAGACTTGGATTATGCGTACGATCGTACATGGGCAGGAATTTGATAGATGATTGGCTGGTTTAGCTGAAAATTTGACAGATGATCAATATTCTTTTTGCTACTAATCCACATGATAAACATAATTCTGCAGTGAAAACTAGAAAAAGCAGAAAAGCTAGAGAGAAACAAAGTTGGGTTGAGAACATATTCTTGCCTGAGTGTTGATCTGACATGAAACATCAACCATGGTGCTAGTGTCTTCTAATCCTGAAAAGCCATGTTTTGTAGTTTTTATTAAAACACAATCAAGGCAATAAACCCAAGAGACAAATAAGAATATGATTTGATGTTTGTAGCCACAGCAGTGTACACGTATGCAGGTTCTCATGTGAAATGACACCAGTTTAGTTTTGTTAGATGTGTTTTTTGAGTTTGTCTGGCAACAATTTGATGGTCTCTAACCCATCCATGATCAATTATTTAATCATATTTAATATGTTTCTTGTGTATTTATTATCAAATTACAACAACCCGACACGGCCTGTTTGATGCCTCCACTATTTGGTAGTCGGATGCAGATCGACAAATAGTATGTGTTCTTGTTGTTGACCCAAAACCGGGGAAAAATCTACTGTTCTAATAAGCCTTAATATTTGCCACTAGAAGGAGAGAAGGTACACTTTACCAACTGCAAACGAAAGTTCAGAAAATTAGAAAATGAAACCATTCATGGCTGGCCGTAGACAAAAGGTGAAGTCTTTGAAAAGTGGTCTAGACTTCTACTTCTTGAAAAGTGAAAACCACATGCGAAAATAGTTTACTAAAAAGGTTGGATTTTAGTGAACCAATGATATGGTCCAAGGGCAACCTGATTTTTTGATCCTAAATAAATCCGTTGCATAAGAGAAATATCATCTTGGGAACTTGGAAGATTCACTGGCCTCACATTGGGAATTTGAGTGCAGGCCAAGGGCATTTTGGACAGATTACTTGTATGGTATAAATTTCTGGTTTCCAAACTAACAGGGAGAAAACGGGGAAAGAAGCTGGAGAGAAATGGCGAGTGTTGGTAACAGTTGTTTTGGTTCAGTCTTCATAGATCCTTTTGAGAATGATGTCTTTTTGAAGAAGATTAAGAAATCTCCATGCAATTGTTTCATGGTTTCCAATGAATCCTTCAAATTGAACAAAGTTTCTTGTGGAATTGAAAAGAACCCCACAAGCAGCAGACCCTCCAATTCCAAGAACACGATCGAGGAGTACAACACAGCTATGAAGAGGATGATGAGAAACCCATATGAGTATCACCATGATCTGGGTCAGTCTCTTCCCCATCTTATATGTAAAGCATTCACATTTTGTAGCCATTTTTTTTTTTAATTTCATTGTGCTTTTATAAGAATCAGTTTGTTTATGGATGGTTCTGTGTTTTGTTTTCATTTTATTATCATTTCTTGTGATGGATTTGTCATATGAATTCAAAGAGTCTTGCTTTAAGTGGACAGTGTTGTGGGTCTTTCTCTTTTTTTCTGATTAGTTGATTTTTTTGTTGTTGAAAAGATTAGTTCTTTAGTTTGCTAAATGCAATTTATTAACAACCCATTTGAAATCTATGTTACTGTATTTTAATTTTTGTTCCTTTATGTGCTATAATGACCAGAACGAAAAGTTGTTTGTAGTGCTTCCTTTCACATATTTCTAGAGTGGGCGTGTATGATCTAGATGACCCAGTTGCACACTTTTGATCTTTACTTACTTAAATGGAGTACTAGTGCTTTGAGATAGTAACTGGTTAACTTTTCATTGCACCTTTTTCTTTAAGAAATTCTTGATCCAGCCTAATTTAAAATTCCCTTATGGAAGTGGGTGCCACAGAAAAGTTTGCATTGCACTGCAGAAACTGTTTTTCCTTTACTTTCCCTCTTTTTTGGTATAAAGAACTGTTTTTCTTTGGGCGATAAGTTCATCACTTTGCTAGGACCTTGACTATTTTAGCTACTTATGATCACATCATGCTCATATGTGTATGCATGTTACTACGATATTAAGCAGCAAGGAATGCCATTTTGCTGAGGTTGTTGAGGATTCGGATTTCCGTTTTTATCAATCAATAAGGAACCAGAACCTTATGTTGCATTTTCTTGTTCTGAATTCAGAATAACTAGGACAATGGTAATAGGTCAAGTTTAAGTGAACGGGCTTCGCTTTTCGACATCATAAAGAAACAAACAAATCCCATTCCATTTACCAGTAGAAGGAGTAGTACCATGTAATTCATTCTGGTTACTTCAACTAATGTGATTGTTCCTGTCCAATGTTCAGGCATGAACTACACATTGATAACTGATGACTTGATTGTGGGCTCCCAGCCTCAGAAACCTGAAGATATAGATCACCTGAAGGAAGAAGAGAATGTGGCATACATTTTAAACTTGCAGCAGGACAAGGATGTTGAGTATTGGGGAATTGACTTGCAGTCAATAATAAAAAGGTGTAAAGAACTTGGAATCCGTCACATGAGGAGGCCAGTAAGCAAAAATCCTTTGCAACGTTTCTTTAACAGATAAAGTATATTCATAGGGTTTCATACTAAAATGACCTAGACAAGGTCCCAAACTTTCTAAACGTAGTATAATTTTTTGTCTTAGCCCACATCTTACTGATGGCTGGTTTCTAGACACAAGATTTTGGATTGCAGAAGCCTCATGCTCTGTTCTGGAAAACATTCCAGACCAACAATAAACAATTTTTCTGGATGTTGGAAACCTTTCAGGGACCAACAATATAATAAGTTTTCTGGATCTTACAATAATAGAAATCACATTTAGGGGATATGGAAACTTATGTTATGTGCATTTTCCTTACTCTTTATTTTTATATCAATGCATCGTAGGCAAAGGATTTCGATCCAGATTCCTTGCGAAATGGTCTACCTAAAGCAGTTTCATCGCTAGAATGGGCCATATCTGAGGGAAAAGGAAAGGTGTATGTACATTGCACTGCTGGACTGGGAAGGGCCCCAGCTGTTGCAATTGCTTACATGTACTGGTTCCTTGGAATGAATGTGAGTCCTTGTTTATCTATCTATTTCTCTATCTTTCGTTGAGAAATGCACAATGCCAAAATCCTTTTGCTGACAGCCTTTTAACATGCAACACTTTAGCATTCCAGCAATGTTTTTAGACCTTTATGAAGTCTGAAAGGCTATGAAACCTGAAGGATGACCATATTATTCAAGAAAGTGATATTTTTTTCATTGCTTCAGTTAAGGAATTGTTCAAAAATTTGACAGCTATTGTGACTGTGCAGCTGAATGCAGCATACGATGCACTAACTTCCAAGAGACCTTGTGGCCCAAATAAGAGGGCAATACGTGGAGCTACCTATGATCTGACGAAGAATGATCCATGGAAGGATCCCTTTGAGAATCTTCCTGAATATGCATTTGAGGATATAGCAGATTGGGAAAGGAACTTGATTCGAGACCGTGTCTATTCTCTCCGTGGAACTTGAGCACTCAGGTGAGCAATTCTTGTTTTAAACTTAATCCATAATCACTGGACAGCCTGCTATGGAACCTTAAGGGCTGTGCCTGTTGCTGAGCTTTCCAAGAAACCTGTCCTTGACTGGCCAGCAATTCTTGTAGTTGATCTGTTAGCGTGTCATATTTTGCATCATGGGTAAAGAAAGTGAAGTTACAGCTTTGTAAAAATTGATTGGTTGCCTTGCTCGGCCGTCTTGGGCTGTTGGTGATTTGTCAAACTTCTGGTGTACCTCCAACACCTCTCCAGAAAAAGTAAAATGAAAAATACAGATTCTCCTGAAAACCTTCTAGTCTGTTCTAAATCAGATGCCATTCTCTTATCCAAAGCATGGCTGGCAATACGATTCTGCCCAAAATTTCTTTAGAACATACTTGGTGTTGTATGATTTCTGGCTTTCTCATGTAGGGTTTAGGATTTCTCACAAAATAGTTTCCTTGTTAAAATGCAGATACTGAAAAAATTGCTTTTGCACCTTTTTGTTGTAATCTTTTTCCACACATTTGAGTAAACTGATTCATATATTAAGAATCTAGTAATGTGCTGCCATACAATTTTCCTACCATGATTGCTAATATTGTGAAGGCATGTTGATGCTTGACAGGTTTCCATGGCGTTAACAAGTTGAAAACATTGTCCATCAACACGGTGCTACATAGAATTGGTACAGGGGATAGATAGGTGGTGCAGGCTGGATCGATGACTTTCAAGCATGCTCATTCTTTTTTCCATCCACCTTCGAATATTTATCTTAGTGTATAAATAAAACAAAAATGTTACCACAACAGATGTGGCATTGAGATGGCAATCACAGTATTGTGTACTTGCAAATATGATATTATTAATGAATCCGTAAAGTGCAATTCTTTTCCAATTAATCATCAATGCATACATGGATAAACACAGTAGATCCAAAGGTTAATATTGACTTGTTATTTTACTAATGCGTTTGCTAAAAGGCACATGCGTTACGTTATGTATGACATCATATACAAAAAACTGACTGGCAAGCTGCCCTTGTGTAATGTCTATAACAAAAGAGCTAACAAAACTTCTTATAATTGTAGTTCTTTAAAAGTTCATAAATGATTCATCTTTACATATATAAACAGCTAAAAATGTGACGAGGAAACATTAGGAAGTCGAATGAGTCCGGAGCTTTGCAAGTTCTGCTTGACGGCGGCCTAAGTGAAACGCGACCACTATCCACAGCAAACAGACCTGGAAAAGATCAAAGAGATACTTCGTTATTCTTTGATGGAGAGAAATCGTCAGGAAAAAAGATGCAAATGCTTTACAAATTCCAAGTGCCAAACAACACTCAGGAGACAACAATTCATAAAGCTAAACACAGGATTTTAAGAAACAACTATAGAACAGGATACACCCTCCGCCATTGGACTTGGGGGAGAAGGAACCATTAAGGTCCAGGGAACCAAATTTGTGTTTTTATACCCGAACTGAAAAAGAAAACTGGGGAGGGATGAAATTTCACACATACAGGCAGGCCGTAAAGAGACACAGTTGATGCTCTCCCATCAACAGTGCTGAAAAGTAGTTTGTACATTCCTGCTGCTGTAGCATCTCCAAGTCTTTGAACAAATACATCAATGCAAACCTGCAGTATCATGTAATTAGTGAAACAATGTCTCAAATAGTTCGGTGATTTGCTTAAAGTTGCACATGACACAATTAATGCAAAATAAGACACCAAATAAGAGATCCTGTATTGAGTGTAATGGCTATAGCGAAGACTTCTTTTTGGTGTTTTACTTTATATAGCAAGCGCCAATGCATGCATCAAAGTTATTAAAGCACTTTTTCATATAGAGGAAACACACCAACAGCAAGCACCAAGTCACACAGTTTCGTAGATGAACATATTTTATAAAAAAACCAATTTTCTATGTAAAAAGAATTTAGAAGTTCGTGCCTTGGCTTTGTATTTTTCATCCTGTGAGACAACAGTAAATAGGAGTTCTCTGCCAGGCCTGGTCACAACATAAGTGACAAACTGCACAAAAGAAAAAAAAAGGAAAGAAAACTGTAAGATCATCTTTCTCCCAGAATGCAAAAAGATTTACCTATGCATATTACATACAATTAACATGTTTCAAGCAATTTACCTGCAGACATCTTGGTTAAATTGAGTTATAAGATAAACTTTGAAAGGGTAAAAACGGAACCCAGAAGTTAGAGAATACAAACCTTCCGGAGGGTCTCAGAAACTGCGACGGCCACCCAAGTTGGCCAGACAGCTATAGCAACCAAATTTAAGAAGGCAACAAATGGAGTAGTGCAAATAGCTGTAGTAACCCCCACAACAGTTAGAAAACGCCCCTGTGAAAGTGCCATAAAAACATAGGAAAGTGATTATAGATAAATGCCCACGATGATAGATGATATAAAATATATGCATAAGAGGAAACATTTGTTGGAATTCTAAGACGGTAAATACATCAGTAAATACACAGTTTAACCATGTAATAGATCAGTTACATAGCATAGCACTTTCGGAGCAACATTCATTCTAAAAACACTATCAAAATCCGACAAGTCGGCATTCTAAAAAAGCTCCCCGATTTGCTTCAAGAATATTTAATTTTTCTTAAAATGTCTAGAAATAGAAACATATCCAGGCATGAGACTAGCTTTCTTTCTTCACTCTAGTTACATCAGAAATCTAAAAGGATAGGGCACCTAAATAGCCTTCAACAGGAAAGCTGAAAGGCGATAAATTTAAAAACAGCTGCAAACATGAACTAGCTAATCAGTATACACTTTCAGTAAGGAAACATTCTACACAGCATATCTCATGTTAATTACTTTAAAAACTAGAGAAAACAATAACTACATAACAACAGCTCATCCTAAGAACTGCATACCGTTATGGTAAGTTGTCCAGCAAGGATAAAAACAGCAATAAAGCTGTTTATCTGAGCCAACAATTTTCTTCTTCCAAGAGAGCTAGTAACAGTCATGGCAATGACACTCACTTTCTGCAGTTACAGAAAAACAGAGATAAGAATCAGCAGAAAGTCGGAAAGAATGAGAGGAAACAGTTGGTTAATAAAATTCACATCAGCACTTAAGTTAATTACACTGCATGCTATACAGAGTTAAAAAATCTAATGGAGCACAATACATAAGAAGAATCATACTGCCATTGATCAGATAAATGAAATTAAGAGTACATTAATTTATCTGATTCTTGGAAAAAGCAGAAAGCCAGTTCCTTAAAACTCTCATAAGAATATGCCAAATCATTAAGTAGTTCCTCCACAGACAGCAAACAGGAGGAAAGGAAAATAAAAATATACTGGGAGAGGCATCATATCTACAGACAATCAAGACAAGTAACACAGATAGAGAGGCTGATTTATACTAAGTTCGAACTCATGACAGTGGATGGTCTTACCTGAAAATAAAAGAATGAAGAGATAACTGCACTCAGCCACAGGAACAAAGATACATACAACAAGTAAGATGATGCCAATATAAGCCAAAATCCATCTAAGATGGCCCAAATCTGAGGTTTCACCACCAGAGTAGGTGACTTAGGGGAATTTCCTCTGTTGCGAATGGTTTGCCCATCAGGCTCATTTTTCCGATCAGTGTCAGCTTCTCTAATACCAAAGAAGAAACCAAGTCAAGAACTAGAGAGACTTTTACAAAATTGTAACCGATAAGATAATTCATAGGCTCACTTTTCTGATCCAAATTTTCCACCTTCCAGCAAACAGATCTTGTCAGTTTGAGTACCATGTTAAAGAAATCAAAGAGAAATTTGTTAATATAGTTGACCTGATGGGTGATAATTCCTCAGGGACATGGACATAGGATACATCCAGGGTTATCCCTTTTGATGACTGTGCAGCAAACTCCATTAACAATGCAGAAAATAGCAGTAGAACTGCAACAAAACAATGCATGGTATAAAACCCATCACACATCACACACAGAGAAAATATCAAATTTCAAAAGTCTGGATGAGCAAACATACACGACCCCAACCTAGCCATTCCCGTGGCAAACAATGACCCAAAAAGCTGTCCAAGTGTGGCGCCAGCACCAATAAAACCAAATAATCTTGAACCTGACTGAATACAGAACAAGTTAAATGCGTGATAAATTTTTTTTGTTGCCACATCAAATTCGTGTGGCAGGATATATACCTCACTGTCCATAACATCGATTACTCGAGCCCAAGTTGAAGAAATTGTTATTAGATTAAGTAGGCCAATCTTCAAAAAAGAAGAAACTTGTATCACCATACAAAACTTGATAAATACATTATTTTCGATACACACAAAAAGTTTCTAATAGTTTTTGAAAAAAGTGATTTCGACATATTCATACCCAGAGGAACAATCCAATTCTGACAGAGACATAGAACCAACCAAGGTTCTCCCACCCTATGGAATATGCAGTAGTGGCTTGATTAACATCAACATTTTGGCCATTTACTGAAGTGGAGGACAAAGTGACCAAACCCTATATGCAAAGAAGGGAGCTATCAATATGAATGAATAAACCCAGAATCATATTTCTAGAGTATAAAAGCAACCAAATCAGAAGTAATTGTAAACTCATGAGATTTCATCTCACCTTCACCTCTTGTTGTGCTCCAGCCGATGAGAAATGCCAGAGAAAGAAGAATACAACAAGTGATACACTAAAAAACCTGTGCATTAAAACCAAAGCCTGGAATTTCAAGAAGCAACTATTACAGAGCGACATGTAAAGAAACAGAAATTAAAATCTGGTAAGAACCAGCTACCTCCGTTTGTTTTTTAAGTAAAAATAAAAATTTCAAACTCCATATCCAAACTGAGTATATAGCAAATGGTGGATACACACATACCTTGCCTTTAGAAACATTAGGCGAAGAGAAAATGAGAGTTGCAACCGGCGCAGCAATCGAAGTGAGGACCAAAGACCCCACAAACAGACCCGGGAGGCTCGATAGGCCTAAAGAGATTGCACCCTCATCGCGCAATGGAAGCACCACGAAGTAGGCACACAAAATCTGCATTGATAATCAAAATTAAGCTAAAAACACAAAAAACCCAATTCATAAACTTAAGAAAGTAATGCAATTAAGCAAAGGGATTGAAAAATATAGGAGAAACAAAGTAACAGCTGAGACAGGCTTACAAAGAAGAAGCAAGATGAGGAGTGCAGCAAAGCTGAGGTCTCGTGAGGATGCACCGCAACGAATGTGGAGAGAATTGCATCTATTCGAGACCTACTCATCTCTCCCCTGTAAATGGAGGATTTGATGGTATGGTTGATTAATGTTTAGGTTCTGATAATAAGAAGAAGAAAAGGAAATGAAATGAAACAGCTTGGTTCGAGGTTGAAGAAGGTCATGTGTGAAAGTCAAATTAGGTGACTGGGCCTGGGTTCTGGGCTGGCCCAAAGCTCGTCATATACACAGCAAAACCAACAAATTAGATTGTGCCCATTTGCTCTCTCTCTCTCTCTCTGGCTGTACCAAGTGTGCCATGCCCAGCCACCTGGGTAAAGCATCTAAATTTCTCAGCTCAGCTTTCACACTCAGAGTCGCACCAAACCCTGCAAAATTTCGCTGCTCCGTTAAGCTTTCAACCATGTCTAATGGAGAAGGAGCGGTTCGCTTTCCTTTATCTGCTTCAAGCACTCTTGTCATCCAAAAGGGCGATATCACCAAGTGGTTCATCGACGGCTCCACAGACGCCATCGTCAGTCCTTCTCTCTTTCTCTGGACTCTGTAATACTGTTTTCTTCTTGTTTTATTCTGTTTGGTTCCCGAGAGATAACAGGAAAAAGAAAGCAGGGAACTTCTGAGCCTTTTGGGTCTTGACCCTTAACATGGTCAATATGTTTGTTTTTCTCTTACTGGGACAACAAAACCTCAAATCAGGATGTTCAATTTTGTGTAAAATTAGATTATTTGTTAGATTTTCTCAATGTTATTATGCACTGTTATTATCAGCTCTATGAATGTGCCAAATTGTTCTCACTGAATACTAGTGCCATGTTTCTGAAAAGATACTCCAGTTTCGTGTAATTTCTTTCAATGATCACACATCAGTTGTCATCAATTTGAGCATGGTTTATTGCATATTGATAAACATATTTTTGTAGGTTAATCCAGCAAATGAGCGAATGCTTGGAGGTGGTGGGGCAGATGGAGGTAGTTTTGTTTTCCGATATGGTTTTCTATTACTATGTTGATCTTTTGAAATGAACCCACTGTAACTTTATTGATTTTCAATGATCTTTTAGCTATACATAGGGCTGCTGGCCCAGATCTTCTACAAGCATGCTATAGTGTCCCAGAAGTCAGGCCAGGTGTCCGTTGTCCCACTGGAGAAGCAAGGATTACCCCGTAAGTTCTCATGTTTTAACTACTCTTTGTTCTTATGGCATCACTTGGTTTTTAATTCGTATGCGACATAAGCAGTGATCAAAATACTTTGTGCATGATGCAGAGGTTTTAAGTTGCCTGCTTCTCATGTAATTCACACTGTTGGACCCATCTACCGTTCTGGCAGTAACCCGGAAGTTTATCTGAGTGCTGCATACAGGTTGTTATCTGTTTCTTGCTGCTACTTTTTTGGTAGTTTAATTTGTTACTCCTGATTGAAATTCCTTTCATGAAACTTGATTACAGGAACAGCTTGAGCATAGCCAAATCAAACAACATTCAGTATGTTGCATTTCCTGCCATTTCTTGTGGCGTGTATGGGTAAGTTGACAAAAGAACTTCCTTGGTGCTCTAGTACATAAGCTTTACATTGGAGGATAAGAATCATAGTAACATCTGATCATGTTGCATGAGGTGTATTGAATTGATCTATAATCTTTCTCGCTTTTCATCACATGGAGTTGAAAGATAGTCCTGTTTCTTATTGTGGGGCAAATTGTGCATTAATGGTCTCAAGTCATATAACCTCATGCTTGATAGTATTAGATTATTTATTCTGTTTTTCCCCATCTGTTACTGAAAGAAATTTGTATGGACTTGTTGATTTGAAGTTGTAAACAAATGACAAACAGAATAATCTTCTCTTCATTGCTATATTCTTCCAGATATCCTTATGATGAAGCAGCCACAGTAGCTTTATCAACAATTAGAGAGTCTGTGAATGACCTAAAGGAGGTATGTACGCATATTTTTTCTTCATGACATGGCGGTAATGTGGGCTTTATCATTTGGTTCTACATTTTCAATGTCTTTAATTAGAAGGGCCATGATTTGTTCTTGTGGAAAACAACATTTTTCCCAGTTTGAAAGCTATTGAGAGAGCTATCTAACAAGCTTGCTTAGAAGTTACATAAAATTGACTAATGTAATCAATCCGTTGACCAGTTGAGCATTGGCAATTTCATTTTATATTGGTTGCAGGTGCACTTTGTTCTGTTTGCAGATGATATTTACACTGTTTGGTTGGACAAGGCCAATGAATTGCTTAAAGCTTAATATGTACCAGGAGCAAGCAGATAGCAGATATATGACTTACCTTTCTGTCATCGTATGTGGATGCAAAACTTTTCATGTAGAGTGTTGACTTGTAATGTGTAGAACAAATGGTGAATATCTTCTTATGTTGCCCAGATACTCGAGTTATTATTATGATGGAAATTTCATGGAATTATTACCATATGTATGCATTTGCAGAAGCTGCCTAGTGTTTTGTGGGTTCACCCTGGACGGCCAAAAGTCAGGCATTGAATATGATTAGAAGTGACTTTGTTTAAATGACCCAAATAATATACAATCAACTAATAGATATAGGCATAAACCTCCTTGAATTTTGCGGAGCGGGGAAAGAAGGAAACATGCCTTTGCTATATTCCAGATTCATTAAATTTGTATCCATAATTCATCGCATAAGAAACCAATTTCAGTCTGTCTAACTTTATTCATCTCCAGTTTTAAAGATGGGAAACCAGGAAAATGGTTCTATGCTGAAAACTCTGCCCATTTAAGTAACCGCACATTTCACGTCCTCATCAAACAATTAGAAAGCAACATACAGATGACTGAACCAGAACAAAAACAATGGAAAACTCTGCTAGGTCTTGTATGAGGAAGCAGTAGCAAAGCAACATATCGACAACTTTATAACAAAACAAAATTCCGAACTCAATGGTATGCCATCAATGACTTTATGAGTCTGCATCTAAGTTTTCCGCATTAGGAATCTTTGTCCTTGGGTACATTTCTCGGAAGTCTGTTGAAAACACCCTCATCCACGATTTTATAATGCTTTGAAAATTGTCGGTGGATCTTTCCGTAACACCTATCCACAGTCTCTTCATTTTTGCTGTACAAGGCAGGAAGTGTTATCGATATGATTGAACCTGCCACCATTAAAGCAGAATATAAGTACAAAATTTTACAATAAAACTTACATGCATCAACCCCCACCTTGTTTTTGCAAGAACATAATTCGGCATAATGGGTCCAGAACTTGACAAATAATAAAGCAAAGTTTGGAAGAACTATAACAATAGCCTCTGCTTAACATTGCATACGGTATATGAAACGCCAAAAAATAACAATAAAGCTTCATATGGGACATCACAGATCATTCATTTAACAGACCCAGGAGGATGGTGCACATACCAATATAAGCAAGTGTAAAGAATGAGAAAAAGCTGCCTATGACAGACAATAGCCAGAGACAAACCACCACCTGTCAAATGCACAGTAGCTTGGTAAGATACTTTCTTCATTCAAATCAGTAATATTTGCAAATGCAAAGTTAAAAGACAACTAATCTGGTTTCAGCTAGATAGACAACGAATCCCAAATATATATTCTACCCCGATTATAATTGTTCCGACTACTTACCCTACAAGACATGGAAAATTCATACTCCATCTGGGTACTCTATTTTCATCAGATAAAATGAAGCATAGTAACGAGACTTTAAAGGCCTGACTAAACTCGCTAGACAGCTACAAAGCCCAGGTAGTTCCTATGGTATTAGTGTAACACGCCACATAACACTGACCTTGAAGAACAGTCTAAAGTCTTTGCCAAGCGTGATGTCATGAGCCATAAGCAGCACATTGTTGATTTTGACACGAAATGATGCTGCAGCATTATTAACCATTTCCTCTGATAGTACTAGCTCCGGTAATGTTTGTAATTGTCTACTCAAAGAATACGATAGTTATTCTCATTGAAAACAGTTTCACTGCTAGGTTGACAATAATACACGTGAAGAGGGTAAGAGTATTCGTACTTATTTCTGAAAACAGCATAGTTGGCTTGAAGAAATAACAGTACAACCAAAATCAGCAAGACATCTGAACAAATTGATAAGAATGATAATCCAGACCGCTCAAAGAGGAGCCAAGAAATTGTAGCAACAACGATAGCACCAAAGGAAACACGCCCCCGCTTCCACAACAAAACATCAGCAGCTAAAAAGAAAGGGGCAGACAGTAAGAAAAAAAAATTAAGAAAATACTGGGAAAAGAACATAGGTATTTATAAAAATATAGGCTGTAGCAGGTAAACCGTAAACAATGTTAAGACATTGATGTTGGCAGGTTTGATCACTTTAACTAACTTCTCACTTCTTTATTTGGAAGTGAAAACCATTCTCAGCTCAGATTAAAGTCATTATCAAATTCAGATATTGGAATTCAAATCCTGCATTTGAGTTGTTCACATATGCATATGAGGGAACAACTAGCCTAGCTATTTTAAAAGACTCTTCTGGAAAAACAAATGTGAAATTCCAGAAAGAATGAGGCAATTTTATCTGCATTCTGACAAGCAATGGATTTTAAATTTTAAAAAGAAGCATTCAACAATAATTTGCCTCCTTGTACATGAGATTTTCCTGAACTACTAGACAAAGGGGCATACTTGATGAGCACTACTAGAAGCCTAGACTATATCAACCTAATTCAAGTTCTTCTGCATGCAGAAAAAAAGGTATAAAAAAATCTGTACTCTAACCTTGCATATGTCAAACTAAAAAAGGAAGTCTTGCACATGAAACAATGGAGGGGCTGGTAGAGCCATTCAGCGGCAAAGTAACTCAAAGAAACCAACAAAGGAAGCTTGCAATTCAGTTTCCCTAGGTCCAACATAAAAGGCAGTTACTTGCCTCAAGAAACAAGCCTTTCAACACAGCCATCTCCTACTCTAGAAAATGCAAGGGATGCCACTCCAAATATTTTTTTCATTGTTTCTTTTTCTTTTGTTTAATCACTTGCGTGGAGATGAAAAAAAATTCCCAAGGAAACCATATTTTTCCCCCTCTATAATTTCAGGCATCTCTTTTCCTTCGCAGTTTTAACTAACCACACATTCTTTTCAACTATGAACATAATTGTGAACTGTCCTCTTTAGTCTTTACCACGACCTCTACATTATGCCTTCATTCATCTATTGGTTTTCGTTATCCAAAGTCAACTCTAATTTCAATCAATAGAGAACAAAAAACCTTATGCACAGGATAGCCCTAGTTTGTGAGAAATCAGAACTACATTCAAGCTGACCAATCAATTCTACAAAGTAAATGCCCTCCATCCAAATATAAACAACGGAGATCATCATTTCAGATAATCAAGAAGCTAAAAACATAGCATTTTCAACAGATAACGGAGACAAGTGACAAAACCCAAACTTGAAAAGAGGAAAAGGAAATTAAATAGAGATTCCACATACCCAAAATCCCAGAAATGTCATAGAAGTTCAATAATGTCAGACAAAAGTTTAATTCTTTCCTCACCTTGGCCTCCACCCAAGGAGTTGTGCACTGACCCTTGACGACCAAACAACCGATACCCAGAGCTGCCTGCTGTTGGGGTATAAGATGTAGAAGCCACGGCCTTCCTTCCATCCCCATCTCCCTCTGTGTTGCATAAATCTTGTGAATTCTCCATCATCAACTTCAACCCTCCAATTTAAACTTCAGTATCTATCGCTAAAGAGTAAACAGTTATAAATTCGCAGTTGTTTCTCCTAGAATTGAAACAAAACAAAAACAACAAGAGAGTCCCCAGTTGGGATCTGAATCATCCGATGTTTGGAGACTTTGGTGTGCACGGGTTTCTAAGCCGAGACACCCGTCCAATAAACCAATGACAAAAACGGAGTAACAGTGACTTTTTTTTTTTTTTTTTTTTCTCTTTTCCCAAACCAACTCTTTTTTACTTAATTTTTTAGGGTGTGACATCATGGGCAGCATGTTTTTAGATCTACAAGCTTAAACATGCCATAAAGTTCGGAAATTTCGGGTCATAGTTGACAATTAGACATTAAATATTGAAACTTCGAGACCATGGAGCACTACCCACAAACTGTTTTTGTTCAAATTTCACTATTCAAAATGAAATTTATGAAATGGGATTGGAGAAATATTTTGCTGAATGATGATATTTCCTCAGCTAAACTCTAGCTAAATGTAATTCTAATGGGGTGCATAGTCATTAGCCACAGTATCATAGATCAAACAATGGAACGACGTCGTGGCGCGAGAATTAACCTCCAGGTCCAGCTTCAGTAGAAAATTTTCCTATATAACTCCCAAAGACCAAAGCTTTTTTAACCGACAGCGTCGCCTGATTGTTGAGGAAATAGAATAGAAGGATAGAGACACGAAACCTACTGACTCAGTGAGCTATGAGCTGTGACCTCTCCATCTCTCTTAGAAATAGGAATTTTGATGTTTGACGCAATTGTTAGGTGCATCTCTAACTCTAAGCATCGAAGCCAAGCGCCCAATTCCATAACCACTGCAAAGCGTATGGACAGCCTACCCAATTAGCCATTGACTCATTTTCATAACACTACCACTTACTCATTAATCTTAACCATCAGATCTGAGACTTTGATCACCTCAAGACAACGCCACCTTCAATTCTTTGATTGCCCTGTTCTCAGTTTTTGCCACTCTCGGTGAGTTTTACTTCTTCTTCTGCGTTTTTTTTTTCTCATTTTGTGGAAAAAAATATTGACCTTGTAAGATTTTTGAGTTGTTTGTGCTTAGCTTGAACTTGGGTCTGAGGCAAAAGATGGGGGAGGGCGAGAGGTTTCAGCTGGGGACAGTGGGGGCGTTGACTCTCTCTGTGGTTTCATCGGTCTCCATTGTCATTTGCAACAAGGCGCTCATTAGCTCTTTGGGTTTCACTTTTGGTAAGTTTTTAATGACTGTTTCCTTCTTTTTCTTTGGTTTGAATGTTATTCTCATTTATAATATTGTTGCCTGATTTTTGTTGTTTTTCTCTCTGTGGACCATGTGTGTTGTTTCATTCAATGCTGAATTTATTTGGATTGCCTAATTTTCCAAATATCTAGTTTTGGGAACTTCAATGCGTTTTTGTGGGGTGTTTTAGAGGCGTGTGAAGATTGACGAGCTTTAAAGGTTCTGTGTGCAAACAAAGGAAACTGATTAAGTTGTTGCGATTGAATAACGAGCTTAGGTAACAAAATTGGAGCTTTTGAAACAATTGTTGTAACTACATGTTCTTTTTTCTTTTAAGGTATGATGGGGTTATGCTTGGTGTTCCAACATGTTATAGCTTTCGATTTGTAGTTCGACTTCAATGAGCATTGAAATATAATTTGACCAGTTTAATATGCGGCAAGAAGATGGAACATGGATCCTTTAGCAATTCGGTTAAACATGTTCCATTGGTAAAGCCCAGTACTAAATGTTGTTCTGTTTTGAGAAGAAATGAGGAGAATGCACGATTATTTATATGTGATAGATTATAGCAATCCTGTTCATCTTAACTTGTTTCATTGGAAGTTGCTGAGATTAGATTGTTATACATATTTGTTGTGCAGCCACAACTTTGACAAGCTGGCATCTTTTAGTCACCTTTTGTTCCCTTCATGTGGCTTTAAAGATGAAATTCTTCGAACACAAGCCTCTTGATCAGAAGACGGTTACGGGTTTTGGCATTCTGAATGGGATCTCAATTGGACTGTTAAATCTGAGCCTGGGGTTCAATTCTGTTGGCTTTTATCAGGTACATTTTCTTCTTCAATTTTATTTTGACTTCTTGGTTTTTAGCTAAAACTTTGATGTTTCAGCATTTTCCTAAATATTAGAATATCTGAGATACTCTATTGTTTTTGCATTCTAGATGACTAAGCTGGCAATCATCCCTTGTACTGTACTATTGGAGACCCTTTTCCTTGCAAAGAGATTCAGGTTTCTCTTGAAACACCCTTTTACCTTCTTTTGACTAAGATGCTGATTTACTTATATGCTCAAACATATCCAAAAGTTTAAACCAGTAACAAAGCCAATTCCTTGTATATATGCACACTTTTAGTATTATATACATATTTATATATTGCTGTGTATATATTTTGGATCCAGTGCTAATCCATTTGTTTGTTTGTGAAATATAGACTTATGATATTGGTCATTCATGCGTTGAACTATGATATGTGATTGTCCCTAAAATCTCAATTATTCACTGTGCTCTGTTTTAAATTTATTTTAATAAGTAGAATGCTGCTATTTCTTAAATAAATAAATAAAAACAAAACAAAAATCTGGAGGAAGAGGAAGAGGGGGGAAATGTGTGAAGGTAAGGTGGTGTATTTGAGGAAAGCTGTTTCTTTTTTCTTGGTAATCATGACCTAGCTGTTTCTTTAAGGATAATGATAGAACTCATGAAATCTAACCATTTTTTTACCAAGGTTAGTTCTTTATCTTTTAGCACCTTGTAGTGCCAAATTGTCATAAGCCATCACTTATTCTGACCAACTCAATTCGCTTCCTGCTTAGCCTTCTTTTGCCCTTATAACTGATATATGTACATCAATCTTTGCTAAACCTACTGATTAACATCCATCAATCCCTTCACTCTTCTCACATCACAGTTGGACTTTCCACCCTCCTCTTGGTAATTCTCTTCTTTCTGAACGTCTGGACTGATATCATTATTGAGCTCTAGCTCAATGCTTCAATCTCTTTCTATCACCCATGGAATTCCTGCGACATGCATTGGTCCAATTATTTTATAAATTGAAGTTGCCTTTGGCACTCTCTACATTCATGTTACCTCTTCTAGTCTGAACCTTTTAGGTGAAGTTTGATTTGTTAACCAATAGTGTTACATTCTGATTTCGGATTTCTTTACCTATGACGGTACTAATATTGCCTTTACTTTACTTGTTATGCAGTAGGAGCATTCAGATTGCCCTCCTTGTCCTCCTCCTTGGTGTTGGGATTGCAACAGTTACTGATGTTCAACTTAATGCTCTAGGAAGTGTCTTGTCTCTACTTGCAGTTATTACAACATGCGTTGCTCAAATTGTATCCTCAACAATTTTGTCTTTTTTTGACAAATATATATGTGCACTTCACCTTATAATATAAACCATTGACACATGCACCACTATATAATTAAATCAGGGAAATACCTGAACCTAAAAATTCTTAAATAATATTGTCTATTGTCATGGATACATATTCTCTGAACCTTACTCTAATAGTCTTTTATGGAGAACACACTTCTATAGTTGACTGCATTAGGCAAAGAAGTTGCACAAATGTGCCTTCTCTCTATGGAAATGTACCCTTCTGTTTGGTGGGAGAGGCTAGGTAAATAACTGACAAGGAAGTTCCCATATTAGTTGGTTCCGTCCTGTAAAGCATAAGTGCATGTACGAGTCAGAAGCTGGTCTGGTCTTCTGGTCTGGCAGTTCATAGTGCTGGATACTTGTCATTACAAAGAGCTGACACACACGCCCTTGTCAAGGGCTTTTTCTTTTTTTCTGTGCATGGATGGTTATTAAAATTATAGCGTGATGATAGGTGTCTCAGCCTATCCAATTTTGTTTGATATCTTAACTAGTTTATTTCAGATGACGAATACCATCCAGAAGAAGCATAAGGTTTCTTCCACACAACTTTTGTATCAATCATGTCCGTATCAATCAGGAACTTTATTAATCTCTGGCCCATTTCTGGATTGGTTTTTGACCAATCAAAATGTATTTGCTTTCAAGTACACAACTCAAGTTCTGGTGAGAGTTGAAATAATTTTTGAACAATTATATCTTCTTCCGCTTTTCTTTGAAAGCATTACTGATTATGTATTCACTTTCTGAGTTGCAGGCTTTCATAATTATATCCTGCCTGATCTCCGTCTCTGTAAATTTTAGCACATTTCTTGTGATTGGAAAGACATCTCCCGTCACCTATCAGGTTCTTGGACATCTGAAGACATGCCTTGTGCTGGCGTTTGGTTACATTCTGCTTCATGATCCATTTGACTGGAGGAACATCCTAGGAATATTGGTTGCACTTATTGGGATGGTTTTATATTCTTATTTTTGCACTCGCGAGAGTCAAAAGAAGGTTTCTGAAGAAGCAACGCAGCCATTGCAGGTTTGAGCCAGTTTTCTAAATTTCTCTAATTGCATTATAGAAAATCGAATCAAATTTTTTTTATAACATTGTATGACAAACTAATGTGTGAAATCCTCGCTTTTCCTTCGAATTGGTTTCAGGCTGGGGAAGGCGAATCGGATCCTCTAATGGGTGTGGAAAATGGAAGTGGGGGGGTGGTAACTGATGCTGTTGCTCAGAAGGCCCCTGTATGGAAATCAAACAAAGATTTGCATGCGTGAAGGGTGATGGGTGGCTGAGCTTTTTCAGCCGTGTTGATTTACACACTAATAGTAATGGTAATATTAGCAGCACAAATAGAGTTGTTAAAGCAATGACAATATTTGTTGGTGTGTATTATTAATTCTTCACCCTTCTTCTGTCTCCAATTTAATTTGAACAGGTCTGGCTGGCTGGGTCGGGCCTTCTCTTTACTAGTTACTAGTTACTAGTTAAGTTAAAAGACTGCCTAGCTAGGGTAATAATTTAAGAAAAACTCAATTGTATTAATTTCAACAACTAAATTAATCAAATACGATATTCTTTCAAATAATTGACAAAATAGCTTCTCTCTTGATAAGTTGGGAATAGGAATTGGAATTGAAGAAGACGTGATGGCATGTGTTGTTTATAGTTAAATTTTTCTCTTCTTCTTTTTCTTTTTAAGATTCTCGCTATCCAATCAAAGTGGGAAAACAGGTAGTTCAAAGGCTTGCCAAAGAAATACGTCATGGGCATTGATGCTGCTTCTATGGGACTTACCAAATTGGCGGTGGTATTTTAAGGGGAAGTAAAAGTAAAACAAACGAGTAGATGAGTTTTCAAATATATATATATATACAGAAATTCTCTTATGCGGACATCCGGACATTATTATCGTGCGGACGCCGTGTATTTTGTACTACCCCTCTTTGTTTTCCTGCCTGTTTACAATAGGATCCGCACGATAATAACGTGCGGACATCCGGATAAGAGAATATATATATATATATAAACAGCTAAACATGTGATGATGAAACATTAGGAAGCGGAATGAGTCTCGAGCTTTGCAAGTTATGCTTGACGGCAGCCTGAATGAAACGCGATCGCTGTATGCATCCCAATGTCTTACTTGAGAGTATAACAATAATGAAGCAATTAAATTAACCAAAAATGACTATTTATAATTTATAATTGGTTTTAATGATGGTTGAATTTTCAAATTCAAGATTTTTTCAATAAAACCCTATTTTCTATGTATCCTACTGTCATTGACTTAGGAGCCCGGTAGTTTTCCATTCCGATGCTTAATAGGTTCAGCACTCTTTCTGTGTGACATCAACCGAGGGAGAGAGCAAATAGGATGGGACAGCAACACAGAGAGAGAGCAGAGAGCATGGGACAGCAACACAGAGAGAGAGCAGAGAGCATGGGACAGCAACACTGAGAGAAGAAAGAGACAAAAAATTTTAAAAACGGAAGGAGGTGTTGCGACAATCTCTTTTGAGTCCACAATTCCTCTCTCTCTCTCTCTCTCTCAAATGCAGTGTA